AGCATGGAGTGTGTTGTAGCAATTTTTTTAATAAATCTGAAAACAGTTAATATTTACGAAACTAGTGAAAGATATGTTATAGGACATTGTACATTAGATATATCTAGAATATTCTGGGAATCCAAAAATTGGTGTGTTTTTTGAACACGCCCTCATTATTTATTATCGAGTTTATTCCATTTGGCTGTTCCACTCTGTATTCTTATTTCTCCATATTGTATCATTTGGACATCCCGCGGCTGTGTTTGCTCTATTTGCTTGTTTCTTCTGTGCTTGATAAAGTAATGCTTAGATATTTGACTCTATCACCCGTTTCTCTCATTTTTCCCTCTACTTTTCTGGTGAATTTATCGTATTAAAAGCAGTTATGTTAAATTTGTGGGAGCATTGTTTGTAACTCGTCTTCGTTTAGGGATTTTACTATGTATCATCTCCGTACTATATTATTTTAAGTTGTTTTCATGTAGTCGAATATATTTTTTTTGTTTTTACTTTTTTGAGTTAATTAATGTCCCTGTCATATAACAGTTAATTATGTCCCTCGGTTCGACTCTGTCGAAAGTTTTTTTCAGGTCCACAGTACATAGGTTCGCTGGTTTATTTTATTCCAGAGCTTTTTTTTTCAGGTGCCATTTCCGTGACATCAGTAAATGATTTTCCATATTAAAAGCCTTATTGTTTTCCTGCTAAAATAAAATATTCGTTTTTATTTTTAACCAACTCTCCTCTACTCCATTCGGTTGCTGTATATTGCTTGTGTTAGTCTCCTTTAGTATAAGTACTTTGATGAGTCGTCTAGTAGGTTTTCAATTATTAGTATTTTTATGATTTATTTATTCTGGTTGTGGGGTTCTTGTTGAATATTGGCTTTTCATTCGTATTTTCAAAGGTGTACTTATACTGCTGCTCTGTATGTGAGGAAAATGTATTACATAATTCTGTTAAATGACCTCCATTCTCATTAAAAACATTCTTATTGAATCTTTGTTTTATTCCTGGATAACCGATTCGAGTATTAGGTTACCCAAAATAATCATATACTCGTTTGTTGGAGTGTCGTTTATCGTCCTCTCCACAAGTTTTCGAAAAATTCCTGCCTATTATTTTCCATTGCGTATATTCTTATGATGTTAACTGGTATTCCTCTTAATTTAATTTTGATTTAAATAATCCTTTCTGATATGTATTTGCACGTTTTACCTGATTCATCTACACCTGATTTACCTCTACCATCAGGTAGTTGTCTAATGTGGTTTTGAACTTTTTCTTGTTTCTTGGATAGCATATATGTCTCTCTGGGCATTAGTGAGTTTTTTAGTGAGTTCCGGTTCTCTTATGTTCAGAGATTTGATGCCAAGTGGCTATCCTTATTAGTCCGACAGCTGCGTACCTTTTTGTATGCATGGAAGGGTGAATAGTTGGAAACTATTTTATCTTATATAAATTTTTTTGCCGAATACGTATATGTAGGTCCCCCATCTCAAAAAGTGGTACCAACTTTTATAAACAATTTTTAAAATTTAATATTTTAATTTACTACTAGTCTCATCGTAAAGTATAGCTAAAATACATTAAAAATGCTATACAGTGTAGGTAAAATTTTATGGTCGGTATGGTAAAACTTAACAGGATATCTAACACAGATATAAAATCATGTTTTCAGCGAATAGACAAAGATAACAATCATATTCCCCCTTGGTATCCCCTCCATAAATCTTCTTGACGCCCATTTTGCCTGTTAGTGAGACGATTAGTTCCGATCAGAGATATTTTACATATTCTGTGGTTCCGATCCTCATAAACCTAAGAAACTAGAGGTGGGTCCTTTAGTTTTTTAAATTTTTATCGGAACCGTTTTTCGTAAACTGTAAACTAGTTGATTGTTTACCAGTATTCAAATTAGCGAGTACACAAACATATTGGCTATTATCGTTTATGTGTATAAGTATTAAAGTGAAAGAAACTAACGAAGAATATATTTATTATAACTTGAAAAATAAATTAAACAATACAAATAGTACTTACATTTACATGGAGTTAAGTCATCTTTATCAGTTTCTTTTTCTTGTACTAGTCAATTTTCAATAGTATAATCTTCTTTTTTCTTTTTTTTTATAGAAGTAACCAGCTTCAACCATCAACTAGTTGATTTTAACGAATTTAACCGAAAATTTAGAGTTTAACACGGTTTAATTAGACTGCTGCCATTTTTCTGGAAACCATAATTCAGAAAAACATCGCTTTTAAAATTAGTGAAATTATTATTCAGTGGGGTCTAAAACAAAAAGTAAATTTTGCAGTAACTGATAATACCTCAAATATGATCATAGCTATTAAATATGTTTTGGAATGAAAACATTTAAATTGTTTTGCTCATACGTTAAATTTATTGATGGAGGACGCACTTAAATGCTGTCGTGTACAAATAGATAAAATAAAAAGTCTTTTTTTCGACAATTCGGCAAAAAACACATTTCAAAAAGGTACCTTATCTTCAGAAACGCTTTTAAAGTATCAATTACAACATAACAAATATCCCAAACGGCCAATTCAAGACGTGGAAACTAGGTAGAACTTCACCTATTACATGTTAGGAAGAATGACGGAGTTAGAAGAGGCAATCCGTTCCACATTGGTATCACTTAATACAGACTTAGACCAAATCTAAATAATGAAGACTGGATTATTTTTTCGTAATTGTCCTAAATTTTACGGCCGTTTAAAGAAATAACAAGTACAATGAGTGGCCCAAAATACTTGAATGATAGTTCAGTGATTGTTCTGGTACGCTGCCTGCAAAAATCTTGCAATAAAATTTTAGCAAACAGTAACCTTACATCCATAGTTAGTATCCGACGTAGTATGGGTTTTTATTACTAATTACGGGATAATTACTAATCTCGGGTTTAGCAAAACTCGAGAAGTAAATCACTTAGATTTAGAGGGATAGAATACAGTGGCATATTGTCATTATGTACTTTTATGGATTCACGATTTAAAGTGCAGGGATTTTCTGATAAAAATGACGCTAAAAAAACAAAAGAAAGAGTTAAGAAGCTGGTTACTTCTATAATTAAAGAACAAGAAGATTGTACTATTGAAAATCAACCAGTATAAGAAAAAGAAACCGATAAAGATGACTTAAGTCCATGGTGTATTTTTGATCAATTAATTGGACATGACTCATCTAACGTACACCTGTAGCGAGAGTCCATTACAATGGTGGAAAAACCATCGCCATGTATCTCCTAACTTAACCACTATATTCATAAAGTATTGTAAATGTGAACACATGTTCAAAATCAGGTTTAATTTTAAATAAAAGAAAAACACAATTAATAAGAAGTAAAGTAAAAAAAACTTATGTTTTTAAATGTCAATTTAGACGATTCGTGATTTAATAATAACGTGTAATGTAAACGTAGGTACGATTTACTATTTGTATTGTTTAGTTAAGTTTTCAAGTTATAATAAAATCTTTTATTAGTTTCCTTCACTTCAATAAATATACAGATAAACGATAAATAGCCATTATGTTTGTTTATGTAGGTAGTTTCTTACTTGAAACTACTATTAAAAAATCATAGTTACTTGTTTACGAAAATCGGTTTTTGCGACGTCAATGACCCACCTCTATTCGTAAATACCTGTTTACGCTTTGATTCGGTGATTTGACCACGCGACACGCCCACGTTGGCAAATAGTTTTGTACGAAGCTCTTTTATTTATATGCAGTTTAATATTTTTATTGGAAATAAGGCATGTCACTTTAAAATAAGCTTATTTTGATGTTTAGATTTTTAATTCGGAAATCGTTTTTTAAAATACCAAACATTAATAAATTTTATTTATATAAAACGATTTCCGAAGTATAAATCAAAATGTTATATTACACTTATTGTAAAGTAAAATTGTGGCATATTCCCAATAAAAAACAATAAGCTGCCATTTAAATCCATTTCGCCCAAATTTCATTATCTTGGAGCATTGTTCAAATGCGAAAAAGACAACAGGTCAAATAAAACCAATAAGTTTGGCAACGTTGAATTTCCCCTTTTTATTATATCCACTCCATATCCACTCATTTATGTTCGGTGATATAAAAGGCGGACACCTAATATATATCTCTCTTTTTAAACAGTTGTTTCTCACTCCATCTCATGTAAGGTCCATACCGACCATAAACTTTTACCTATACTGTATATACATGTGTGTGTATATATATATATATATATATATATATATATATATATATTACACTTTTAATTCTGAAAGGGCGAACAGCTATTCTTATTGCTTGTTAACTCAATGAAAAACAAAGTTTCTTCATACTTTTTATTTATGTGCAGCTTAAAAGCTAGATAAAATCTTCGATTTCTCGATTTAAAATTTTAATAATTTGTAAACTATATACTTTATAAACTTTTTATATACAACATTTTTATTGTATTTTTAGCCGTACTTTACGATGAGACTAGTTGTAAATTAAGATATTTAGATTTGAAAATTGATTTAATAAGAATTGTTTATAAAAATTGGTACCACTTTTTGAACTGGGGAACGTATATATTCGTATTCTGCGCTAAAAAATTTACATAAGCTAGAATAGTTTTCAACTATCCACCCTTTCATGCATACAGAAAGGTACAAACTGCCGGATTATAATATATTATTTTTCATTTCATTAATACATTGTCCGGTTACTTGCATTGGTTGTTTTCAGTATATCCGTTCTGTTTATCCGACGACATACTTGGTAATATGCGCACTGCAGTATTTTATAGTTCTCAGATAGGGTGCTATGGTCTGATAACTCTCTTCTCCTTTATCCGGACTTATTGCCGTCAGTGACAGCTGATGAGCTCCTCAATCCATCTACCAATTGCTTCAGGCCGAGTTAAAACTCCACTTAAGTCCATATATTCTATAATTTAATGAAATAGTAATTTTTTTAAAGGAAAATTAAAATGACTTTATAAATAATCAATTCATTATTTTAGGTTTTGATCAACTCTTAAAATACGCTTACACAACTCGACTAGCCCTAAACTTAGCCAATGTACAGGATGTCTTGGAAGCGGCTTCACACGTCCAAATGGTAGCTGTCATCCAAGCCTGTTCTACCTACTTACAAAATCAAATAGATATAGATAACTGTGTAGATATAGCTACAATAGGTAACATCTGTTTTTTTCTTCACAATAACGTTTTATTTTGATTTGCATTTTATGTATACAGCCTTAATATGTATATAGTGTGTTAATTTTAAAACTTACAATGGGCTATATTTCACAAACAAAAGCTGATATCGAAAAATGCTTGAAACCGTTTCTAGGATAGTAAGGGGAAACTAAAATGACATAAAAGGGAACTCACCCCCATCAACCCCCTAGGCCCCACCGACTACAACCAAAAAAGTTTAAATTGTAAACCCCTACTTGTGATACATCATTGAAAAGACTATAAAAAATGCTATCCAATGGTATAAATAATAATTATACAGGTTGAAGCAATAATTGTGAGACTAAACAATATTACAGCCTATTTTCAGATTAAAAAAATCCACAAGGAAAAAAATTCCTGTAACTGGCTGTATACCACGTATCACAAAAAAGAGGTTAGTCCTCGTAAATGGGTATATTTTTAAATAAATATACCCATTTACGAAGACTAACTTTTTTTTTTTTTTTTATTCAAATTCTCCACGAACTGGCAAATGTCCTGGCATGTCCGCGACATGCTTGCGTGATTCTTTCTCGCAATTCCCCAAGTGACGCAGGTTGAGTTTTATAAACAACTGACTTCATGTAACCCCATACAAAAAAGTCAAGTGGCGGTAAGTCTGGTGACCCTCGTGGCAACTCAATAGGACCTCTCCTTCCAATCCACTTGTTCGGATAATTACTATCCAACCAGTGCCTAACTGGAGCTGCATAGTGAGCAGGTGCTCCATCTTGTTGGAAGTGCAGCAAATCTGCGTCTAAAGCTAGGTTGACTTGATCATCCCTTTGGTTCTCTAATTCATGCATAATTTTAAAGGTTCGATGGTGTATTCCAGCATATTGAGATGAATGTCGCGAATTCTTTAAGTCATCATTTCACAAAACTCAATTCGTCGATCTGGATCATGATCGCCTAGTTCTTGAAGAATTTGTGTTTTGTACGGGTGAGACTTATGTAATTGCAACACCTTTGTAACCGACTCATGTGAAAGTCCTGTCATTGCAGATACTTGGCGTGTTGATGCAGTAGTCTCTATTGCAAAATTTCCAAGGACCTCAATCCCTTGAGATCCTTGAAAATTTTGCATCCCTTTTTTTAATTTTGCACTGATCTTGGTTCTCTAAACTTTTCAACTAAATCGCGGACGTACACGTTACTTACGTTTTTGTCCGGGTGTCTTTCATGAAATATTTAAGCTATTCGTAAATAACACTGTTTCTGGGATGAAAATATGAAAATGATCTCCACGCGTTCAGCGATTCAGGTGTACTGTAAACCATCGTGACAACTACAGCTGAAGAACAGTACCGATTGTACAAGTGATGAAAACTAATGACATTTAAAATTCTCAAATAAACCAAAAATTATAGATCTCGCAGAACCCAAAAAACAGTGATGTTTTCAACTTGTTTTGCAAAAACGGCAAATTAAGTAAGTTTTTATTTAACAAAAAATTCCGACGGGCACTTATCATTAAAAATAATATTCCGGGAGATGGCATTACAAAAACAAAAGTCATAGTAAGAAGGCTGATATTAACACTCTGTATAATTATTAAACAATAATTATACAGGGTCATCAAAAGAATCAACAAAAACCTCATAAGTTTTCCATTTAAGCCAAAGTTTCACAATTATTGCTTCACTCTGTATAATTATTATTTATACATACAAGGGATAGCATTTTTGTATTGTCTTTTTCAATGGTGTATCACAAGTAGGGGTTTACAATTTAAAGTTTTGGTTGTGATGGGTGGGATCTAGGAGGTTGATGGGGTGAGTTCTCTTTCACGACATTTTAGTTACCCCTTACCATGGTACAACGAAAAGAATTTATGATCGATAGCGTGCTAAATTTCGTCTGTTCTACGCAGTGACGTCATGCGGAGAGTTACATTTTTAAAGTACATGGAAGGAGTGCTTAATTTCATCACTTTAATATTTTATTATTTATAATTTATTGTTTTTATTATTTTTTTTTTTTAAATCACTTTATGAGACATCTGATATTTCGTGCCGGATTAAGCATTTTTTGAGGCCGAGAGCTAAATAGCAAAGATTGTTAATCCGGTGACAGGGATATTAATTAAAGGCTTTGGTCTGCTGAAATTAAAAATAAAAATTATTTTATTTGTGGTTATAGCATGATTTTATTTCGTTTATAATAAAAATAAAGAAGAGTAGTCTTTTGTATCATGTATTTACATTTCATTGGGATTTAAAATTAGGCAGAAATTAAACATATCAATAATTTTAAATGGTAACATAGTTTATTAAAATATGTCCATACAATTCACATGGTAAATAAAATATAGGTAAAAACACATATTATAAAGTTATAATCAGCCATTCTTTTGATGAAATATTTTCATTGTTAAATACTTAAGTTCGATGATCAAATACTGTGTAAGGCCACCAAATCTAGATGAAATTAAAAGTTATTCTTGTACTTAACAGTGTTAATTTTCATATTTGATTTGTTTGTCTCATATGTAACAAGTCCAATATTGAGAATGATATTCAACGCGTCCTAGTATATAAGTAATAAAACCCTACACTAGGACTCAGCTACTTTGATGGACTGAGAAATCATCCAAATGATGAAGCAAGACTGCTACATGCTTCTTCCGGATTTGCAAAACGATTGAAAAACTGTGACGAACCGACTTAGTAAATTAAACATATTTATTTATTTATTTATTAATATACGGAATTACCCCGTTACAAATATATATCTATATATATATATATATATATATATAAATATATATATAAATATATATATATATATATATATATATATAAACATAATATATAATATATATATATATATATAAATATATATATATATAGGTATATATATATATATATATGTAATTGAACAAAAAAGTGCCTATAGCTTGTCATGCTTTTTATCCGATTTTTAAATAAAGCCAAGGAGACACCAATATTTCCAAATTGTTCCTATTATATAATTTTCAGTGTTCCCTTAATGGGCGAATGCATACCATAATTTGTACGGTGAAAAGGTATATAACATAGATCAACATATTTGAGATTTCTGGAGGAACATATAAACTAATAGAACTTCAGTAAGAACAAATTGAAACATTTATTAATTTAAATACAAATACTAAATCAGAGTTATCTCATCAGGTTTTTAATAAATTCATGTGTTTTTGAGTGTTTTAAAAATATCTGTATAATTATGATTAATAATGTGTATGTTTATTTATATGCACAATATCTGACAAATTTGTTCTGCAATCTCTCCAATGTAATAGAATGGACTTGGTATTGTGGAGACCATACAGTAGACGCATATTCCACTTTAGATGCGACTAAAGCATAATAAACTGTTCTTAAAGCCCAAACAGATAGCCTCAGACAGTTGCGAATGATAAAGTCTAAAGTGTTTCATGAATTAACTGTTACATCTTTTTATATGTTGTACAAAACGCAACTGTTCATCAAATGTGACTCACTTATATTTTATTGTTCTTAACATAAGACAATTTATTATCATTAATTGTATAAGAAGTATTATATTTTTAAATACATCTATCTACCTTTCTTGCTTTCCACTGGTTTCGCAAAAGGTAATTATAATGTAGGCACTGCATCTTCTTTTAAAAGACAGTGATTTTAAAAGACACTCCCATAAGTTCAGATTTTAAATATCCTTGAAACTATCTGCACTAAAATGTTTTTGAGCAAATCCTTCCATTTTTAGGAATGAAATAGTCCTTTCGTTTACATGTCTCTACCCAAATTTTTACAGTCTTTGGATCGTTTGAGGAACCGGAAAAACATAATATCTTTCTGAACCACATTACTTTGATTGTCACTATTACACAGAGCTATTGAACACCTCATCTTTAAATAACGAAAAGAGTATATTTCGCTTAGAAAAATTAAATGATAATTCTACACTTCACAACAATAAAAATACTAGAGGTTGAGGTTATGCTTTACCTCTCCACGTTACGTCACACTATAAACGACAACTCCGCCCTCATGCGCAAGATCATATCTTCTCTTTTCTTTGTATCATGCCCCCTTACTATCCTAGAAACAGTTTCACGCATTTTTCGATATCAGCTTTTGTTCGTATGATATAGTCCATTGTAAGTTTTAAAATTGACATACTGTACTATAATGAGATGAGATGAATGATATTTATGCCGTTTTTGCGAATATAATTATTGATGGACGACACTACAATATTCATAATATTTTTCAAATTTAGAACTTTTGCGCAAATGGCATGTTGATGGATAATCAATACAATGAACTTGTAAATGAGGCTGCGTCATATTTAATTCTTTTAAATTTTTTATCAATAATGCCTACCAAACCAGTATTGTGACCCGTCATGTTCTTTGCACCGTCAGTTTTTTAATTTTCCTACTTATCATCATCATCATTGGCTTTTACAACTCTTTCTTTTACCATCTGGTCTTTCCCAAAACACATTGCCAATCAGTCTGTCGTCATCACTCCGTACCTCGTGGCCTGCCCATCTTAATCTATTGGCTTTTATGTATCTTACGATGTTTCCTTTCCCGAAGAGAGATAGTACATATTAAAAGGATAGTACATATTTAGGATAGTACATATTAAAAACATTTAATAGTTGCAAAAATATATCTTCACCTCTTGTAGTCCCATGGAGGCTTTTTAATGCAGCAAATTCTTCTGTTACAGAAAATTGTTTATCAATTTCAACAAAATTAAGTGGTTCTAGTTATATCGTTGCTTTTATCAAATGTTAGTGAAAAATACTCATTATCTAAAGATTTTTTTTTCAATGCGTCAAACTAATATCTTCAATTTTTTTTTTTCTGGATAAATTTTGGTCATACGGTTTTAATCATACGGTTGTCAATATGAATGTATTTCTATGCAAAGTGCATATATGAACATACCGTAGCAAACTGGCGAAATGAAAGATG